GGGGGGGAGCTGTTGACTTAAAACAAAAACAAATCTGTTAAATACTACTGGATCAAATACTTTTAAAAATACCATTTTTAATCTGCAGCTTATTATCTTGACATATCACTGGAAAACAAATACATCAACCTGAGAATAGATTTATACTCAATGGCCTATCTATCTCCCCCCAAGACATCTCTTAAGCTTTCATAATAAACACATTTTGTAATAAATTTACCATTTTTAAATTATATATAGAACTATATATAACATGTGTGTGTGTATGTATGTATGTTACTATATCCACATAATTGTTTCTGGATGGGAAAACCAGCAACTTATTACTAGATATTTAACAGACTCTTAAAAAGCCACTATTGATATCAAAGATATGAAACCAAACTCAGTGTCCATCAATAGATGAATGGATAAAGAAAATGTGGTAATATACAAAATAAAAAGAACAAAATCATGTCTTCTGAAACAACACAGATGAACCTGGAGAAAATTATAATAAGCCAGGCATAGAAAGATAAATACCATGTGATCTCACTGCTATGGTTTACATATGGTTGAAGTGGGTCCCTAGTTCGTGTGTTGAAAGGTTCATCCCCTGTGTGATAATGTGTGGGGCCTTTAAGAGATGGGACCTAGTGGGAGTTAGTTTGGTTAAAACATAAAAAATCCTAAACTTTCTCATGCTGAGAATAAAAAGCTTCTTCATGCTGAGGACAACAGGAAAATTAATACTGACAAATTCTCTGGCTAGCTAAATCTGCATATGTAGATTATCTGCCTTTTGTCCCACTGTGCTTTCTTTTCTCTTATAAAAGCTTTCAGAACCCCTGAGTTCCCAAAGATGGAGATTTGAAACAGAAAATTCTCCTCTGACTTCCTTAAAGCCTATTTTCCTCGCCAACCTGTCTCCAGAATTTTTGTGGAGCATGATGAGCAGTAAACATTTCCCTCCCAATTACAGGGTCACTGGGAGCACAGCTCTTAGAAGAGATTAAGGTAGTTCTTGTGGGATGCTGAGTTAGTTTTCTCAAGAGCAAGTTGTTATAAAAGAGTCCCTCCTTGTGCTCTGGCTTCCTGTCCCTCCATGTAATGGTTCTTGCACATGCTCCAACCATTGTGATGCCATCTACCAAGAGATGATGCAGCCAGGGAGACCTTTGCCAGGGCTGGCACCATGCTGTCTAGACTTTCAGCCTCCAAAACTGTGAGCTAAATAAACATTTTTTAAATGAAATACCTAACACTTCAGGTATTTTATTTATACTAACAGAAATTGGACTAAGTATTAATTATGCCTACTCATATATGGAATCTAAAAAAGCTGATCTCATAGGAGAGAGCAGAATGGTAGCTATCAGGGGCTTGGGTGAGTAGGGGAACAAGGGATAGGGAGATATTGGTCAAAAGAATATATAATTATAATTACAAAGGAGGAATAATAATTTTTTTAAAAGAAAGAAAGAAAAGACCAGGCAAATATATAAAGACTGAGACAGAAAGTAGTTAAGTCATTCTGGGCCAGGGAGTGGGAAGGAGAGAAATGGAGAATGACTACTAATGGTTATGAAGTTTCTTTTTTTTTTTTTGGATAACAAAAATGTTCTAAAATTGATTGTGGTAAAGCCTGAGCAAAAATTTGAACATGGTAAAAATCACTGGATACATTTTAAGTGGAAGAACTATGTGGTATGGGAATTATATCTCCATAAACTGGTTTTTATTTTTTTAATTTAAAGCTGCTGTTTAGCTTAACAATCCAATACTGATTTATGACAAAATTTATCCTCATAAATTTACCTTCCAAACTAGGAATGAAAGGTACTTCATAACCAGACAAAGGGCATCTATGAAAGACACAAAGCTAACATAATAT